TGCGCCGAGGGACAGGTGCGCCGCTCCTCGCCGGCTCCTCCACCATGAACCAGCTGCAAAAGACGCTCGCCGTCACCGGTGCGCCATATCTCCCCACACCTCCCCACACCTCCCCACACCTCCCCCACATCTCCCCATATCTCCCCACACCTCCCCACACCTCCCCCACACCTCCCCCACACCTCCCCACACCTCCCCACACCTCCCCACACCTCCCCGCATCTCCCCACACCTCCCCATATCTCGCCATATCTCGACTAGGCTTCCCCTCGCGCGGGGACATCGACGCCTGCGGATCAAAGCACGCCACAAAAGATGCTCGATCTCATAGACCATAGGCTAGTCTTGTGGACTGCACGCTCTGTCTCAGGCAAACAGGGTTCAGTGCAACCTATCTATCTCGTCTCATGTGCCTACTCCACCCCCCCCCCCTCTCTTCTGGTCTCTTCTCTCAGGTACGCCGCCAAGATGCTCGAGTCCTTGGAGCAGCCGTCCGCACTGCGCGACCTATCCGCCGACATGAAGGGCGCGCGCCATCTCCCCACATCTCCCCCACATCTCCACACATCGCCCCACATCTCCACACATCGCCCCACATCTCCCCATACCTCCCATACCTCCCCATACCTCCCCAGACCTCCCCATACCTCCACATACCTCCACATATCTCCACATGCCTCCACATACCTCCCCATATCTCCCCATATCTCCCCATATCTCGCCTAGGCGCGCCGCCAGACGCAGCCGACCTCGCGCGCCAGCTGCTCCGCTTCAACCCGGCCAGGCGGCGGGGAACCCCCCCCCTCCTCCTCCTCCTCCTCCTCCACCACCACCACCACCACCACCATCACCACACGCACCACCACACCCACCACCACCACCACCACCACCAACACCAACACCACCAACACCAACACCAACACCACCACCACCACCACCACACCCACCACCACCACCACCACCACCACCACCACCACCACCACCACCACCACCACCACCACCACCACCACCACCACCACCACCACACCCACACAGAGCTCCCCCGAGCTCCCCCGAGCTCCCCCGAGCTCGCCCGAGCTCCCCCCCGAGCTCCCCAAGGTCGCCCCTTCTCCCCAGGCAGTTGTTTTCTTTCAATTCTCCCCAGGCGGCCGGACGTGCGCGCCTGCCTCCGCCACGCGTGGATGGCCGACTTCGCCACCGGCGACGAGCCGACCTGCCCCGCGGCGCTCGAGGCGGCGGCCCAGCCGAGACTGGGCGAGAGACTGGGCGAGAGACTGGGCGAGATGTTGGGCGAGATGAGGCGGACGACCCACCCTCTCTGCTCTCGGCTCCTGCTCTATGCTCCTGCTCTATGCTCCTCTCGGCTCCTCTCGGCTCCTCTCGGCTCCTCCCGGCTCCTCTCGGCTCCTCTCAACTCCTCTCCTCTTGCACAGGTGCCCATCGACGACGACACAAAGTTCTCCGTGTCCGACTACCGCGACCGCCTCTACAAGGACGTCGGCTGATCTCGGCTGATCTCGGCTGATCTCGGCTGATCTCGGCTGATCTCGGCTGATCTCGGCTGATCTCGGCTGATCTCGGCTGATCTCGGCTGATCTCCGCCTCGCCTCTACAGGACGTCGTCGCGCGGCGCAAGGACCGCGCCGCCCGGATGGCCGCCTACTTCCCCAAGGCGAGGGACAGCGCGAGCGCCTCGCGCGCGTCCACGGCGGAGCGCTGAGTCCGCCCCCCAGCGCCTCCCTCCGTCCCTCCCTCCTCCGCCCTCCTCCGCTGCGCCGCGGAGCTCTCGGGCCCCACGCGCGCGTCGCGTCGCGTCTCTACGGTGGGTCCGAGACCCTCACGGCCTCTCCGCCCCTCCCCTACGCTCACCGACGCTGGCATGACGCCGCCGATACGTACCGCGGTCTCTCGCGATCTGTTCTCTCTCCGTACCTCTTAAGGTATATGTCTGTCCACTGTCTCGCACACACCCGACATCACCGCGCCCTGTTCCATGTGTGGAGACCTCTTCTGTGTCGCGGTCTGGCCTGTCGAGAATTTTATGTGTAAATGTACCTGCTACTTGCCTCCAGCTCTCTCCTAGGGGGTAGACAGTGCCCCAAAATCCACCAGTCTGGGATTTCGCGCAATTGTTGACTCTGAAAAAAGCTCGCATGTACCTCCTGCAAGCGCTGTGGTCGCCGCAGACTGGCTCCGACTTGACGGCAGCATGGAGACGTGATGCCTCCATGCTGCCGTCAAGTCGAAATCGACATGCGAGTCGATCTTTGCACTTTGGCTCGCCAGAGGTACATGCGGCGTTTCGGGCGACAACAGCGCTGCGACCGCGAAGTGGCGGCGGACATGCTCCCATGTTGCCGACGCGGCGCCGGAGTGGTCGTCGCTGCTCGCCACGACCACGACGGCTACTCGGATACTCCGGGCCGACCCGTCCTACCCGACGGTGGCACTCTTCCACGTCTCGCTCACGCTGAGAAAAATTCTGAAACGGCGTGCAGCAGAGTCACCAACGAGTCGGTCCGCGTGACTCCTCGTGTCCCGCACCGTTCTCACACATCCATAAACTCACTTTGGCCTCACTGAAGCAAGCCCTCAATCCTGAATCCTCAGATTTTAGATTAGGACGCTGTCGACCCTCTATCTCTCCACCACACTCAGGTCCACAGCTCACACACACTCAAACGACCCCCTTGCCCCACCACCTCGTGTGTGTGGAGAAGTTTACCTTACTTTACCTTACCCCTGCGCTCTGGTTGTGCCGCTTTTGGCTGGGCCCCAGTGCGCTGCGGCTCCTGCAACACAGCGCCGAGCAGGCTTCCTGTGTATTCCGTCTCGCGGAATGTTCCTACACGTGTACGGTGATTGCACCCGCGGCTCGCCGGCCTCAACGCAATGCGCGTGAGGCAAGCGACCCCGAGCAGCAGGCCCAGCGCCACGCCTCCGAACCACGTCGAGGCGGCCGACTCCAGCCTGCTCCTCGCCATCGCCAGGCCCGAAGCGGCATGGAGCTCGCGGAGGCGGTCCATCGACGCCTCGGTTTTGGCCGCCGGCCCACCAAAGGTCTCCTCTCGCCCGCAGGACGAGCCCATCGCCTGCCCGCATGATGGTGCATTCCGTGAGGTTGGCGCCGTGCATGATGTGCACCTCTCCCTCGAGAACCAGCACAAACTCATCGAACGAAGGGCACTGCGGAAGCTCTTTTGTGGCGGTGCGCACGGTCGCCACGCAAGCAGAGCAGGCAGAGTCGGCGGAGGCGACGCGGCCGACGTACTCTGTGATGGTGAGGTCAGGCGCGTCGACGACGTCAACGGGCTTAATGACGCGGATGCCGGCGGTCATGCTGCAGGGGTGCTTCCGCTTTCAAGAGGTCTCCGAAGTTCGTCGTTACATTTCGGTTGACCGAGCGGCGCCGACTCACACACACACACACACACACACATGGGCGCGGAGAAGGGGGTCGCGGGGCTCGAGAGGCAGCTCTCCGAGATATCAGACGCACTCGCGCGCGCCGCCGCTGAGCAAGAGGAGGCTGACTCGCGGAGAGGGCTACAGAAGCAGGAGCGGCCGTCGCAGCCTATCGACGTGGAGACCGACGCTCTCACACGCGACACCGCTGAGCAAGAGGAGGCTGACTCGCGGAGACGCAGCGAGCAGGAGTCGCAACCTGCCGACCTGCCTGAGACTGACGATTGGACTCCATGCCCGATGTGCCGGGGACGTGGTCGGTATGAGACGGCCTCGGCAGTGAGCGTGGACTGTCCACAATGCGAGAGCAGCGGCGCCTTGAAGGGGTTGTGGACGAAGTGCTCGAAATGTTCCGGCCTGGGTCTGTTCAATGCGGTCGGAGGCAGCCGAATGCGCTGCGACGCGTGTGATGGGTCGGGGGCGCTGCCTGGTTTGGACTGGTGCCGTTGCTGGGCTTGCTCCGGCCTCGGCATGCCAGGCTGCAGCGTGTGCGGCGGGAAGGGATCGACGCAGCTCTCAAAGATTCACTCTCGCTACTTCAAGCGGGAAGCGGTTGCGGCCAGCACCGAGACTGATGCATACGGCCTGCGCTGCATTCTCTGGCCCGAGGGTGGAGCGGCGGCGTGCGGTGGCTGCGATGGCGTCGCCGTTCAAGTGGAACGGGCTTTGCAGCGGAGTCGCAGAGCAGAAGCTACTCTCAGAGTGTAGCTCGAGCCGTGCCACGAACGAGTGTTCCATATAATTCACGTTGTTTGATCTTTTTTATTTAGCTCACGGAGCACTTGGAGCACTTGGAGTGCAGTCATTAAGACCTCACATCCAGGGCCGGGGAGCTAAGAAGCGCACCCAGCGGGCCGGATGATCGGTATCGGGCTACGGGCAAGAGAGCCCTGACCCCTAAGGGGGGGGGGTGCGCGTTCGCAGGGAAAGGGCCATAAAATAAACACGGGTCTCCGAGGGTTAGCCCCGCGTACCGGGTTTCCCCTTAACTGCAGGACGCCCCCTCTACTCCGGGAGCTAATGAACACCACACTGCACGCCCCACACCACCACTCTGCACTCACTTGCGCAGGCACTTGAGTCACGGACTCTCCTTAAATCCCGCAATGAGATCAGCTGTGCAGACGCTGAGCAGCGTGGAATCTCGCTTGGCGTTTTGTCGCACGACCAGCACGAGGCCGCTCCTCTCACACCGCCGAGGATTGATGGTCCGCACTGCCGCGGCCGACTCGGCATCGAGGGGGGCAGTCGCGGAAGGCGCCGTTGCCGATCGAGGTGAGGCTGTCCGGCAGCGTGACGGCGGTGAGGGCCAGAAGGCGAACTCGCCGATCGAGGTGAGGCTGTCCGGGAAGTCCGGCAGCGTGACGGCGTTGTATGAGGGCGGATGGAAGGAGCATTTGCCGATCGAGGTGAGGCTGTCGGGCAGAGTGGCGGCGGTGAGGGCGGAGCAGCCCGCGAAGGCGCAGTTGCCGATCAATCGCAGTGAGGCTGTCCGGCAGCGCGACGGCGGTGAGGGCGGAGCAGCCCCAGAAGGCGCTGTCCTCGAGTGCAATCTCGCCATCGGGTACAATTGCGTGCCCATCCTCATCTATCGGGTACGCCGGCTCCCCCTCCTCTTCCTCCCCCTCCTCCCCCTCCTCCTCCGGAGGTAGGTAAGTGCGACTGCGTCAAAGGAGGTCCGGAGGTAGGTAAGTGCCTCCAGACCCTTGCCCTTATGGCTGTTGAAGATGAGGTTTTTGTACTCTAGCCATGCAGGCATAGCTTGGATGATAAGTCCGTAAAGTTTCATGTTGCGCTCATCCCAATCCTTTTGGGCGGTCTTTGCAGCATCGATGGCGTCTTGGTTGGTGACTACAATGCGGGCTCGCGCACTAGGACGTGGAGGCGCGGCGGGTATTGGTGAGCCAGGGGCACTGGCCTCTAGGTATGCTTCTGCATCGGGCTCGGTTGGTCCATCGGTGCTGCCGTAGATTGGTGCTGGGATGGTGGGCCGAGCTTCGTTGCCCTCGGCAAGTTGATAGCAGATAGCACTCAGTGAGTTTCCAGGCAACGAATCCAGTGAACCAAGCAGAAAAAGCCTCGCGCTGCCCATTGAAGAGAGGTACCTGTTTGCGGTCTCCACCAGTGGTGCTGGGGTCTGTGGCGTGGGCAAAGGTGATGAAAGAAAGGATGGTGACCATGACGTAAAAGGCGCCAGGCGGAACAGCACGGGGATAGGTGCAACGAAGATAGGTGTCCCGTACCATGCGGAATCGACCCTAGTGCTCAAGTAGATGCATCTCGAAAATATTCCAAGTGCGATGCTTGAAAGTATTCCAAGTGCGATGCCACCGTGGGAAAATGGTCTCATTGAAAGAGAAAGCGTTCTCGTGGTTGTGCACTGCAATGGCATACTCATTGGTTGCTGCAGGTTTGAGAGACGCATAAGAGCCATAAGTGTGCTGCGCGGCATAGGCTCTGTGTGAGTTTGCATGACGGCATGCAGATTGCAGTGACCCGGTCTGGTCGTCGAAATGAAAGTTGCTCCGTTTGATGCCGGTCGCCTCAGAGGCGTTGTCGGGGTGGGGCCGCATCGGGACGTGCACATTTCGGACCGTGGATGCCTTGTCGCTGAGTGAGCTCGGTGAGGTGTTGAAGTGAATTACCGAGGAAAAAGGGACAAGACAAAGTGCTGTGGAAGTTGGTCGGCTCAACGCCACCGGTGAAGGCGTGTCGGCCAGCTTGAAAAGAATCGTCTAGAAACCTCTCGGAGGTGCCACAGAGGGCGTCAAAGGTGCAGTGCTTTGCTGCTGGTGGCTTGCTGGCGTTGGTGGCATAGTGGTTTATGACGCTGTCAGTGTCGAAGGTGAGTTCGCTGACGCCGACGGGGCACAGCGAACTGACACTGGTGTTGTCGCAGTCGGCGCCGCTTCCCGGAGGGGAAGCCATGACGGCATGGGTCGCTTGAGCGAGCCACGGGAGGTAGGCGAGGAAAGCTAGCGGCCGCATGAGTCCATAAGATCGCGCTGTCGGGAGAGTTATTACGAAACCAAAACCTAGATAATCTCAAGGCGGAGGCAGCCGAGATGGCGCGTTGGCGGTATTGGCTAGTTCCATTTCACTGTGGCACAGCTCGCGTTACAAAACCCCCATAAAAGTCGCCGTGGCAGTCCACGCCGAGCCGGCCTGCTGCCGGCTCGCACGGCAGCCTCTTCCTCTCGACCAGCCTCAACTTCCGTACAGTCAACATTTTGTCGCTGCGTGCTCGTGGCCAAGAACCACACTTATGCCGCACAAACGGGGCACAAACGCCAGGCTACAAAGACGGGGAGGCACGTAGTGACGCAGGGGAGTCTAGGGCCGGTACCTCAGGCGTCACCTCCGCAGCCTCAGGTCTCAAACTCCACCACCTCCGCCAGGACGCCTTCGGTGGCACGCTCGGCGGCGTACTTTCTGCAGCACCATCTCGAGACCCAGGGAGTGCGTGTATCCAGCAAGCGGTGCGTCCCGGCAGCGCGCGCAGGCTGCGGAGCTGCAACAAACTCGAGACACGCTTTTGGGGGACATTTTCGACGCTTTTGTCCCATACCGCTTCGCCTTCGTCTCCTTGCTGCGCAGCAGGGTGTAGTTCGGGCCCACCTCCGCCACGCTGTCCAGCACGTGGACGGCGCTCGCCATCTCGACCGCGTCGTCCTCCGGCGGAAGCTCCGCATCGCCCGCGGCCGCTTCCCGAGCGCGCTCGTCACGCATCCGCTCGCGGTGGGCCTGCCGACGCGCCACGCCGGCGCCCGTGTGCCTCGCCGCCGCGTCCGGCGACGGCATCGATGCTGTCCCCGCACGAGCGTGACTCGCCTCCACGACCCTCCACGACCCTCCACGACCGCCGAAAGGTTCTCCCACTCGCGCCCTCCCCAAACCGGGTCCGCTCTACAGTTACATACATACTTGTGCGTTTGGAGAAATTTACCTTACCTCACCTTACCTCTACATACATATACTCGTGCAACAAGCCGCCGGGCATGCATACGCTACGCTCGAACGCCTCTTCCCTAGCGCCTCGCCAGCTGCGCTCGACCTGCTGCGAGGCTTGCTCGCCTTCAGCCCTGCCAAGCGCCTCACCGTGGACGAGGCGATAGCCCACCCCTACCTGGCTTCGCTACACGACCCGTCGGACGAGCCAGTGGCGGAGTCGCTGTTCAGGGGGCCGTGGCCTATCCTTCCTTAGCCAGGCAAGCGCTAGGCCTGCTTGGCGCGTCGCACGCTGAGCTGATGCTGCACCATCACGCCCGCTCCGCGCCACTTTGCGAAGCCCCTCTGGCGCGCCGAGAGGGCCGCGAGCGGCCGGATGGGCGCGAGCGCGGGGCCGGCCGGCGCGCTGAGGGAGTCCTCGGCGAGGTCCTGGAGCTCCTCGAAGTGCGCGGGCGCGTCCTCCGGCGCCGGCGTCTTGGCCGAGAGCCGCAGGAACTTGAGCGTCTTGCCGGTGATCTCCAGTAGCACCAGCACGTTCATCGCGCCCATCAGGGCGGAGGCGACCAGCGCGCCGCGCCGCATGCCGGCCGCGCCCTCGCGCTCGAAGAAGAAGACCGCCTCGAGCGCGACCTGGGCGTACCGCAGCCCGCGGCTGTAGAAGAGGGCGACCCAGCCGACCGCGAGCGAGAGCTGCATCTGCCGCAGGTGCGACGGGCGTGAAGCCGTAGCACTGCAGGAGCAGCGCGACGGCGGCGGCGCCCTGAAGCAGCATCGCCCCCTCGTGGTACCAGGGCGCTGCAGAGGGCGCAGGGTGGAGGGCGCGGGGTGTGTGTGGGGTGGAGGGCGAGGTGTGTGTGGGGTGGGTGGGGGGGGGTGGGGGGGGGGCGAGGTGTGTGTGTGGGGTGGAGGGCGAGGTGTGTGTGTGGGGTGGAGGGCGAGTGAGGGGTGAGTGGTGAAGGTGAGAGGGTGAGGTCGTGAGGGTAAGAGGGCAGGGGTGAGAGTAAGGGCGGGGTTGCGCGAGGGGCCGCACCGCTCGGGTAGTGGAGGTTCATCGGGACGACCATCGAGAGGCCCATCGCGTGGTGCACGCCCAGCAGGACGAGCAGCGGCGGAGGGCTGAGACTCCTCTTCTCAGGCAGCGCGGCGAGCTGGTACGCGCGGGTGAGCACCTGTGTGGCATCGAAGGACGGGTCGAGGGGGTATTCCTTCTGGAAAGCGTCGGCGGCGGGTTGTGTCGAGCGCACGTCGCTCAGCTCGTAGCCAGCTTCGCAGAGCGCGCCGTGGCACGCGAGCGGGTGCGACCAAGTTGGGTCGCAACCGAGCAGCACGGCCGGCACGCAGAGGGCGGCTCCGACGCCGTGCTGCGCGAGGATGACGAGGAGCCCGCACATGAATTCCAAGGTGGCTGCGCGGTCGAGGTCGATGAAGAAGCCCTTGGAGAGCGAGGCCTGCGAGCGAGTGATGAAGTTCTCTCGCCACGCCTTGCGACTGATCCACGGTTTGATGACGGACCCGCCGACGACAGGGATCACGATCATCCAAAACAGGCACTGCATCGCAAGCAGCGTGAGCTGCGTGTCAATCTTCGGCTCGCAGTGCAGCAGGGAGCCGACGAAATCGCGCGGCGGCGGCGGCACGGCGGAGCAGACTCGGAAGGTCGGCGGCCGCCAGGCGAACTCGCAGTGTGGCGGCATGATCGCCGACCTGTATCCCGAGGCACGAGGGTCTGGGGAGCTCGGCCGGGCCAGGGCGATGGACCCACTTCAAGCGATTGCACCCAAGACTCATCGATGGGGAGGGGGTTTCCGGCGGGTTCTCACGGGTTCTCTCTCGAGGTTCTCGAGGTGGATATGTTTGGAGAGTTTTTGTTTTGTTTGCTTTGGCCGCGTTGGGTAGCTTATTCTTTTTTTAGAGCGCCTTCGTTACATGCGCGCCCCGTCGAGCTGACGGCGGGCGCGCTGAGGTCGCACGCCAAGCCAAGTTATATGCCAATGGCATGCGACCTAGAATCGGCTCACGCGCCTCTACTCGCATACGCTCACCCATAGAATTGTCACCGCCAGTGAGTGCGAGATAGGGCTAGCGGCTGGCGGCTAGCCTCTGAGGAGAGTGACCAGAGACACCTCACACGACCCCACACACGGTCTAGTCCGGCCTCGCGGTCGGCGGAGATTGCTAGAGGCCGAGCAAGCCTGCTCTAGCCTCACGCGTTCGCCCCTGTTGTCTGTTGTTTGTTGTGCCCTTGTTTGTTCTCTTGGCACCTGGGAGTGCTGGGGGGGGCGACAGGGAGGATGTGGCCTTGAGTTATGTGTACGCCAACTCAGGGTGTGTGGCAGCCAGCTGGCTGTGTGTCTTGTGACCTTGTTTGTGTCTGTGTGTCGCTCGTGCGTGTCGTCATCATCTGTCCCGCGTCCACCCATACCGCGTTGGTGTCCAGTCCGAGCCTGGCTGTTGTTCATCTTTCTACATACATACATTAATAGTACAAACCCAATGGTCCCTTGCGAGCGGTCCTTCGTTGCAGTCGCACACACGCACACGCCGCGCCGCACCGCGCGCCCGCCCACTGCCCCGCCCAGGCAGGAAAGAGGTGAGGAGATGGGACAGCAAAGGAGGAAGGAGCCACAAACACTTTTTTTCCGTAGGCACGGGACTGGCGCGCACTGGCACTAAAAGAATTTACAAAACCACTTGCTCTCACAGCAGACAGGCACTCGTCGCAGAGGCCTCGCCTTCGAAAAGACGGGCATGGCTCTACGCAACTTTCTCGCTAACACGCGCGCACCGCCGAGCCTGCGGCGGGCGCGCTGCGGCCGCACGCCTAACTCCGTCATAGTGCCACGACGTGCGGCCTAGAATATATTAGCCCACGCGCGCTTCTGCTCGCAAACACTCACACATTGAATTGTCACTGCCCGTGAGTGCGAGATAGGGCTCGCGGCTGGCCGCTAGCCTCTGAGGAGGGCGTCCATAGACACCTCACTAGACCCCACACACGGTCTCGTCCGTGCCTCGCCGGGCGGCGAGATTGCTAGAGGCGGAGCAAGCCTGCTCTAGTCTCACACGTTACTCCCTGTCGTCTGTTGTTTGTTGTGCCCTTGTTTGTTCCTCTGGCACCTTGGAGTGCTGGGGGGGGCGACAGGGAGGATGGTGTGAAGTGACGGCGGCGGCCGCGTCGCGCGAAGACGTGCGATCTGCGCCACGTGCGCGCGCGCGGGGCCCCAACTCCGACGGTCTCCGACGCCGCCTAGGACGCCGCGCCGCTGGACCAATGACAACAGCAACCAGCAAGTCGCAACCACGCAAGTGCGGAAGTGCAAGTGGTGTGCGCGCGGCGTGGTTGCTGGTAGGTTGTCCGGCCAGGTGTGATTTATAGTTCTCGGAGGGGGGAGTGATCCTATACATGTCCTGTAGAGGCTAGAGCCGTATCGGTGACTTCGGTCATCGGTGTGTTCGGATGTTCATATACATATTTTACACGAGTTGATTCTGTTAGAGACACTCGTGAGCTGGCGGAAAGTGCAGCCGGAGCCGCCGGGCCCGGCGCCGCTGCGGAGGGTGTGTGTGCGTCGCGTCACGCCCCGGGGGCAGGCTCGAGGAGCTCGCGCAGGGACGTTTACCTTACCTTACCTTACCTTGCGCAGGGAGATCTGCAGAGCTGCCGCTCAGTCGGCCAGCTCGCAGCGAGAGCACAGAAAAAGAGAGAACGGGGACAGGACTGGTGACTGGCGTGGCCTCTCGCTGCGCGGATGGGGCGAGGAGGACACCGGGGCGGAGGTCGGAGCTTTGGAGGGGGGGGGGGGGGAAGGCGCTTGGCCGAGCGGCTACAGCCGGTCGAGGCCCCGCCCCTCGAGCGAGATGTTCATCGCCTGCGACGAGATATGGGGAGATATGGGGGAGGTATGGGGGAGGTATGGGGAGAGATGACTCGAGCGAGATGGTCATCGCCTGCGACGAGGTGCCCTTCTTCTTCTTCATCGTGCCCATCTTCTCATGGAGCCGGCCTCGCGTCGACTCCTTGGCCGCCTGCAGTCGAGATACGGGGAGAGATGGGGAGAGATGGGGAGAGATGGGGAGAGATGGGGAGAGATGGGGAGAGATGGGGAGAGATGGGGAGAGGTGGGGAGAGATGGGGAGAGGTGGGGAGAGATGAGGGAGATATGACTCCTTGGCCGCCTGCAGTCGAGGAGCAACCTCGCGTGACCTCGCGCAATCTCGCATCTCGCAGAGGACGGCCCCGCGGCGCCGGCACTCGGGGGTGGTAGTAGGGTAGGGTAGGGTAGTATATGGTGAGGGTAGTATATGGTGAGGGTAGGGTAGGGTAGTATATGAGGGTAGGGTAGGGTAGGGTAGGGCAGGGTAGGGTGAGGTCAGGTATGGTAGGGTGGGGCGAGGTGAGGTGGAGTGGTGGTAGGGTGGGGCGAGGGGTGAGGGTAAGGGGAGGCAGGGCTGCAGGGCTCGCCATTCCGCTCGATCTGGGGAGATATGGGGAGATATGGGGGAGAGATGGGGGAGATATGGGGGAGAGATGGGGGAGATACGGGGGAGATATGGGAGATATGGGGGAGATATGGGGAGATATGGGAGAGATGGGGGAGAGATGGGGAGAGATGGGGAGATATGGGAGAGATGGGGGAGAGATGGGGGAGAGATGAGGCAGGGCTCGCCTTGCCGCTCGCCAGCGGCGCAACCTTGGCCGACGGCATGTACTTGAAGTCCATCCCCACCGGGCGGGGGACGCGCGTGCCGCCCTGCGTCTTCCCCTCCGCCCTCGCCGCGAAGCTGTCGAGGCCCTCGGCCCGCTCCTACCCACTCACCCACCGCCGGCACTTACTCTGCGAACGGCTGCTGGAGAGGCCGAGCTCCCCTCGCGCCGCCCCCGCTCCTCCTCCACGCGCGCCATCGCCTTCCTCTCGAGATCCTCCGCGGTCTGGCCGCGCCGCTGCGGCACGTTCTCGGCCTGAAGGGGGGGTGGGGGGGGGGGGGGGTGGGGGGGGGGGTGAGATCGCCCGAGGTTGCCCGAGATGGGCCGAGATTGCCCGAGCTGATCAAAGCTGAGGCCGGAAGGCGGTGGTAGAGCCGAAGATTGGGAGAGATGGGGAGAGATGGGGAGAGATGGGGAGAGATGGGGAGAGATGGGGAGAGATGGGGAGAGATGGGGAGAGATGGGGAGAGATGGGGAGAGATGGGGAGAGATGGGGAGAGATGCCTGGAAGGCGGTGGTAGAGCCGAAGATTGGCCTCTTCCACTTCTCAACGAGCGCCGTCGCCGTGTGCCGGTTCGCTGCGGTCTCCTTCTTGTGGAGCGAGTAGAGGCGGACGTACCTAGGAGAAGGTTCCGAGAAGGTTCCGAGAAGGGTCCCAAGCGGTCTCCTTCTTGTGGAGAGCGAGTAGAGGCGGACGTACCTAGGAGAAGGTTCCGAGAAGGTTCCGAGAAGGGTCCCAAGCGGTCTCCTTCTTGTGGAGAGCGAGTAGAGGCGGACGTACCTAGGAGAAGGTTCCGAGAAGGTTCCGAGAAGGGTCCCAAGCGGTCTCCTTCTTGTGGAGCGAGTAGAGGCGGACGTACCTAGGAGAAGGTTCCGAGAAGGTTCCGAGAAGGGTCCCAAGCGGTCACTCCTTCTTGTGGAGAGCGAGTAGAGGCGGGCGTACTTTCCGAGGGACGAGGAGCGCAGCGAGCCGAGGACCGTCTCGTCGACCTAGCAGAAGGTTCCTAGAAGGTTCCTAGAAGGTTCCTAGAAGGTTCCTAGAAGGTTCCTAGAAGGTTCCTAGAAGGTTCCTAGAAGGTTCCTAGAAGGTTCCTAGAAGGTTCCTAGAAGGTTCCTAGAAGGTTCCTAGAAGGTTCCTAGAAGGTTCCTAGAAGGTTCCTAGAAGGTTCCTAGAAGGTTCCTAGAAGGTTCCTAGAAGGTTCCTAGAAGGTTCCTAGAAGGTTCCTAGAAGGTTCCTAGAAGGTTCCTAGAAGGTTCCTAGAAGGTTCCTAGAAGGTTCCTAGAAGGTTCCTAGAAGGTTCCTAGAAGGTTCCTAGAAGGTTCCTAGAAGGTTCCTAGAAGGTTCCTAGAAGGTTCCTAGAAGGTTCCTAGAAGGTTCCTAGAAGGTTCCTAGAAGGCTCCTCAGAGGACGAGCGCGGCGAGCCGAGGGCAGTCTCTCGTCATCCTCCTAGTCTATGTCTTCGTCCCACGTGACCTCCCAACATGTTTGTGTGCACCTCTTCCGCATCGTGACGAGGAGGAGGAGCTGTTTCCATCTAATCTAGCAGCCACGGGTGCCATAGAGGCAAGTGTTGGGTGGGAGGGAACTAATACATCCCCTCGAGCAGCCCGAGCACGCGCAGCAGGTCTCCCCATATCTCCCCATATCTCCCCACATCTCCCCATATCTCCCACCTCGAGCAGCCCGAGCACGCGCAGCAGGTCTCCCCATATCTCCCCACATCTCCCCACATCTCCCCACATCTCCCCACATCTCCCCATATCTCCCACCTCGAGCAGCCCGAGCACGCGCAGCAGGTCGGTCCGCACTTGCAGCGAGACGAGGGATCCGTCTGTTCACAGCTAGAGGTGTGAAGAGACGCTGTTCACAGCAGCGAGACGAGGGATCCGTCTGGAGAGGAACACAAGGCCGCGTGCTGAAGGATTGAAGACTAGTACCTCTCCAATACGTAGAGGAGCAACCCCTCTCCAATAAAATACTTAGAGGGGCCGGCGCCGGTCCGGTCGTGGCTCATGGGTGCCCCAATCTCACACCGCGCGGGTGAAGGGGGGGGGGCGTGCCCTACCGACTAAAGTGCCGGTTGGGGGTGGGGGTGGTGCTCTCCTGGCATCGGCTTGAGCCACGTATCTCCCAGATCTCCCAGATCTCCCCCCTCTCTCCCCCCTCTCTCCTCTCCTGGCATCGGCTTGAGCCACACCGCGAGCGTATCTCCCCGATCTCCCCCCCTCTCTCCCCCCTCTCTCCTCTCCTGGCATCGGCTTGAGCCACATCGCCAGCGTGGTTAGCATGCCCTGGTCGATGAGCACCTCCTGCATGTGCCTACGGGGAGATATGGGGAGATGCGGGGAGATGTGGGGAGATGAGCACCTCCTGCATGTGCCTCTTGTTGAGCATCGTGACGACCTCGGGCAGCAGGGCGACCTAACCACGGCTCACTACTGATCAGCATACGGGGAGATGTGGGGAGATGCGGGGAGATGTGGGGAGATATGGGGAGATGGGCGACCTAACCACGGCTCACTACTGATCAGGCTGTCAGCTTGTCGGGCTTCTGGACCGCAACCGGGCCGCAGGGCGGACTTGTGGACCGCGGGCTGTATCTCGGCTACCTCTCGTCTGTATCTCGTCTATCTCTCGGACCGGAACCGGGCCGCAGGGCGGACTTGTGGACCGCGGGCTACCTCGCGGCTAGACCTCTCGGCCTTGTGGATCGCGGGCTCCCATCTCCCCACATCTCCCCACATCTCCCCACATCTCCCCGCATCTCCCCACATCTCCCCACATCTCCCCACATCTCCCCGCATCTCCCCGCATCTCCCCATATCTCCCCGCATCTCCCCGTATCTGCCGCCTTGTGGATCGCGGGCTCGCCGGCGGCCGAGCGCACGGCGTCGTCGTCGCGCTCGGCGGCCGCCTCCATCTGCTGCTGCAGCTCGACCACCTCCTGCGTCAGCGCCTCTCGCGACCGCACGATCTTGCCGCGCCGCGGCTTGAGCTTTGTCAGCATCGCCTCGATGTCGTTCTTCCCGCCCGCCTCCACCGCCTCGGCGGCGCGACCGCCGCCCGGCCCGTCGCTCTCGCTGTCGTCGTCGTCGCTGTCCGGCGCCGCCGCCCCCTCCACGCCCTCCTCGGCGAACCCGCCGTCCACCACGCCCTGCGCGCCCTCGTCAGCCTCGCCGGCGGCCGCCGCGGCGTCGGCGGCGCTGCTGGACCCCTCGTCCGCCTTCTTGAGCCGCTTGCGCGGCGCGCCGTCCGGCTTGCCCTTGTCCTTCTTGGACGACGCCTTGCCCTTGCCCAGCACGCGCTTCACCTTCTCGCTTTCGGGGTGCGCGAGCGACGGCAGGTTGTCGTCGCCGTCCGAGTCGGAGTCGTCGCCAAAGATGGCGGCGTGGAGCGACCGCTTCTTTGACTCCTCGGTCTCCTCCTCCTCCGCCGCCGCCTCCGGCTCCGGCTCGGCCGCCGCCGGCGCCGGCTCGTCGGCCGCCGGCGCCGGCTCCTCAGCAGGCTCAGCGGGCGGCGCTTCTTCCATGGAAGCAGGTCGTTTTTCTTCATTGCATGGCAATGAAGAAAAACGGACGCGTGGTTGCGGACACGAGCCCAAGAAAGAATTTAAACAAAACAACTCTCTGAGAGCAGACAGGCTCGACACAGGTGCGAACTGGCGCGTGCTAGTACTATCACAGGCACACGCAAGAAAGAAAGAAAAGACTGCCGCATAGGGCATGGCGCCGCTCGCGAAACGAACTCGTCGCGGATCACAGGCGTCCGAGTTTATAAAATGAACTCGGGGGCACGGGACGCGGCACAAACGGGGCACAAACGCCAGGCTACAAAGACGGGCAGGCACGTAGTGACGCAGGGGAGTCTAGGCGACGGCGGCGTCCTCCGACGCCGCGGTGAGCCTGAGCTCGGTCGCAATCTCTTCCGCCGCCGCGAGCTGCAGCGCGACTGACATGCGCTGGGCCTCCAGCGACAGCCACGACCGCGTCGACCAGCTCGCCTCGTCCTCGTGCTGCCGCTTCGAGAGCTTGTTGCGCACCTTGTCCTTCATCTGGTAGAACAGCCGCTTGACCGCGTTGCACCACCCGCCGAAGGTTTCGAACAGGTACATCTGCACGTCGGTGTCCGAGCGCGAGAGGGCGTGCGCGTAGTCCGCCTTCTTGTACGCCACGTAGCCGCCGCCGTCGCTCGGCCTGAAGTCGCCGTCCCCGACAGCGCCGCGCTGCTCGAGGCCGAAGACGTCCGCGCTCGTCCGCTCGTGCCGGGCTCGGTGTTGCCGAGGCCGACGAAAGCGCCTCGCTGGCCGACGTCCTCCGGGTTGGAGGAGAGCGTGTCCTTGAACTTGACGTCGCCGACGAGGCGCGAGCGCGTCCGAGCGCCTCGTGTTGATCCCAGCCGTCCACAAAAACAGCACGACTGGCTACGAGCTCGTACAAGGGCGTGACCTACCACCGCAGCAAAAAAGAAGTTCGAGGCAAAGGTGCGAGATGGCGGCAAGAGTGTCTACCTCGGCCTTTTTGACACCGCCGAAGAGGCGGCCACCGCCTGCGCTCGCTCGGAGTACGGCCGCGCCGACGCCGCAAAGCTGCTGCAGCCTCGCACTGCTCCCACTGCCGCTGGCGCTGAGGCGATACGGCAGGCGGAGAGGGAGGGCCTGACTCTGGCTACGAGCAGCAACAGCAACAGCGGCTACAAAGGCGTGACCTTCAAGCCGAAGAAGCAAGGCAGCAAGAAGTACGAGCTGGCGGTGAGGGTTGGCAGCAAGGGTCTTCCTCGGTTACTTCGCCACCGCCGAGCAGGCGGCGCTCTTCTACGCCCGCAGGGAGGCGGGCAGGGACACCAGCGACCGCGCCGCCGCCGCCGCCGCCGCCACCCGTGCCTTCCACTGCCGCTGGCACTGAGGCAGTCCGGCAGGCGGGGAGGGAGGGATGCGAGCGAGGGAGATGTCGGGGCCCCAAGTGGCCGGGCTGAGGGCCTCGCCCTGGCCAGCAGCAGCAGCAGCAAGAGTGGCTACAAAGGCGTGGCCTTCTACCCGAAGGCGCGAGGCCGCAAGAAGTACAAGCTGCAGGTGAGGGTTGGCGGCAAGAGGCTCTCCCTCGGCTACTCGCCACCGCCGAGGAGGCGGCACTGGCGCGTGCGCAGCACCGTTGGGAGACGACCGTCCGCCTGCTCGAGCCGCAGCAAGCACCGTGTGCGAGGAGATGGAGGTGGAGGCCGGCGCCGCAGCAAGGGTGGCGCCAGCTCCAGCAGCCGAGGAGCGCCGAGAGTGCGCCATTTGCTTGGACGGCCTCAGCTCACACCCCGAGGCGCGCCTGCAGCCACGCGACCCGAACGGCTGGGGCGCCACACACTGCTGCAAGAGCCTCTTCCACTACCGCTGCCTGCACACTTGGCTCAGCGACGACAGCGAGGTCGAGACGAGCCGCGGGATGGAGCCGATCAACACGGCCTGCCCGGGCTGCCGAGGCTTCGTGTCGAAGTCGGCGTCGCGGATGCTACAATAGAGCGGCCGCATGTGTTTTTCGACCCGCAGACACACAGAGGCGCCGAGTCTCTTTTTTAGTCGGTTCAAGCTAGTTTTGTTCGCAAGGAAGAAGGTCTGGGTCCGAAATTCTTTTGTTCCCGTGGTGTATCTGTATTATTGCCAGTGCGCGCCAGTCCCGTGCCCAGTGTTGTGCGAGGGAGTTTAGTTGTAAAATTCTTCGCGGGGGCGCCTGAAATTCTTTTGTTCGTTGAGCTTGCCAGCGGCGAGGGCGGTCGAGTGCACGGAGCTAAGTGCCTTGCCGTCCTCGCGGGAGTCGCTTAGGCGGCTCCAGTGGTGTACCTGTGTTAGTGCCAGTGCGCGCCAGTCCCGTGCCCAGTGTTGTGCGAGTACACATAATTCTTTTGTTCGTCGGTTGGTCTCGCGGGGGGGGCGTTTCGCGCCGTTGGTCGGTGGCCTGTGCTGGTGGCGGCTGGCTCGCTGTGCTTCGCTGCGTACCCACCACCTTCATGCCCTCCGACGAGCCCGCCGCGGCCGTGCGAGGCATCGTCTTTCGTCCGCAGCGCTACACGTTGGAGGCGCTGCACCAGGACGAGCCGCGGCCACCGCAGCGGCACGAGGACGGCCGGCTGACCTACGCCTTTCGCGGCGGCGAGTCGCTGGTGCTTCGCCGACTGCTGGAGGACCACGGCTACCTCCCGTCGCCGACGGCCGACGCGGACCTCGTCTGGTCGAGCGGCCACGTCGGTCCCGAGACGCTGCTCTCGCTGCCCCGGCACGCAAAGGTGAACCACTTCCCTCGGTCGGGAGTGATCACGCGGAAGGACCTGCTCGTCCGGACGATCGCGATGCTGCGCGCGCGGTGCGGACGCGCCGCGTACGAGTACCTGCCCCTCTCTTTTGTGCTCCCCGCCGACGCTGCCGCTTGCACAGCCGCGATGGGCCGCGACGGCGGCGCGACTTGGATTGCAAAGCCGATCGCGTCGAGCCAGGGCCGCGGCATCTCGCTGCTGGGCAGCTCGGCCAAGCTGCCGGTGGGGGAGGACTGCGTGGTCTCTCGCTACGTGGCGCGGCCCCTCCTGATCGACGGGTGCGAGATTGCCCGAGATTGGCCGAGATGTGGCCCGAGATGTGGCCCGAGATGGCCGAGCTGCCGCGAGATGACGCGAGATGGCGCGAGAGATTGCCCGAGATGTGGCCGAGATGGCCCGATACTGCCCTCCTGATCGACGGGTGCGAGAGAGCCCGAGATAGCCCGAGATAGCCCGAGATGGCGCGAGATGGCCCGAGATGGCGCAGAGATGGCCCTAGAATGCCGTCCCGATCGACGGTAAGCAACCATAAGACCCTTCTCGGAACCGTCCCCGCAGGTACAAGTTCGACCTCCGCCTGTACGTCGCCGTCTCGTCCTTCGAGCCGCTGCGCGCGTGCGCCTCATCGAGGAGGGGAGCGGCGAAAGAAGAGAGGAGCGGCGGAGGCACGAGGCCGGCAGCTGAGAGTAGGTATGTCTTCGAGGAGGGCCTCTGCCGCTTGATTAACGAGTAATTAGCTCTGAATTCACGATTAATTCAGGTATGTCTTCGAGGAGGGCCTCTGCCGCTTCTCGACGGCGCGCTACTCCGACCCAGCGGACGGGGGCTCGGCGGCGGACGCGGACGTGTTTGCCCACCTCACAAACTACTCCATCAACAAGCGGTCCTCCCACTTCGTGCCGAACGCCGACGCGGCCGACGACGGCTTCGGCTCAAAGTGGTCTTAATTAGCTCTTAATTAGCTCTTGATTAGCTCTTGATTAGCTCTTGATTAGCTCCTGATTCGCTCTTAATTCGCTCTTAATTCGCTCTTAAGTAATGGTTAATCGACTGCGGCTTCGGCTCACAGTGGTCGCTCTCGGCGCTCGATTGCTCCTCAAGTAGCTCGAATGAGTGATGAATTGGTCATCAAGGCGGTACCTCTCAAGCACTATCTCGCGTGATCTCGAGTCATCTCGCGCCATCTCCAAAGGTGGTCCCTCTCGGCGCTCAAGCGCTGCCTCGCGCGCAACGGCGTCGACGTGGCCGCGCTGTGGCGTCGGGTGGACGACTTGCTGCTGCGCACGCTGATCGCGGCCGAGCCGTCGGTGGCGGCGGCGGGGCGGCAGGTCGGCACCGCTGGCGGGCGCGCGTCGTGCTTTGAGCTCCTCGGCTTCGACGTCCTCATTGACGAGGGTCTCAAGCCCTGGCTGCTCGAGGTGAGTCTGGCTGGTGAATCTGGTGAATGAAATGGCTGGAGGGAAGCGAGTGAAGTCACCACGCCCAATGGCTGGACTGAAGCGAGTGAAGTCACCACGCCCAATGGCTGGAGTGAAGCGAGTGAAGTCACCACGCCCAATGGCTGGAGTGAAGCGAGTGAAGTCACCACGCCCAATGGCTGGACTGAAGCGAGTGAAGTCACCACGCCCAATGGCTGGAGTGAAGCGAGTGAAGTCACCACGCCCAATGGCTGGAGTGAAGCGAGTGAAGTCACCACGCCCTTGGCTGCTCGAGGTGAACTTGTCGCCGTCGCTCGGCGCCGACACGCCGCTAGACCTCAAGGTGAAGAGCTGCCTGCTCGCCGACCTGCTCACGCTCGTCGCCCTCGCGCCGCACGACCGGGCCGCGGCGCGAGCGAAGGAGCGCACCTTGCGCGCCGCGGCGATCGAGCGCCTCTCGCGAGGCGAGCTCCCCATATCTCCCCATATCTCCCCATATCTCCCCATATCTCCCCATATCTCCCCATCTCTCCCCACATCTCCCCATATCTCCCCATCTCTCCCCATATCTCCCCATATCTCCCCATATCTCCCCATCTCTCCCCATATCTCCGAGCGCCTCTCGCGGGGCGAGCCAACTCATCGCCGGCCCACGACACACGCCCACGACACGCCCACGACACGCCCACGACACGCCCACGACACGCCCACGACATGTCCACGACATGTCCACGACACGTCCACGACACGCCCACGACACGCCCACGACACGCCCACGACACGCCCACGACACGCCCACGACACGCCCACGACACGCCCACGACACGCCCACGACATGTCCACGACACGTCCACGACACGCCCACGACACGCCCACGACACGCCCACGACACGCCCACGACACGCCCACGACACGCCCACGACACGCCCACGACACGCCCACGACACGCCCACGACACGCCCACGACACGCCCACGACACGCCCACGACACGCCCACGACATGTCCACGACATGTCCACGACATGTCCACGACATGTCCATGTCTGCCAGGCGAGCCAACTCATCGCCGGCACAAGGGCGCCTCCGACGCGGGCAGAGGCCGCACTCCGCTGCGCCGCGCCCTTCGCACGCTCGACGCCGAGGCAAGGCGCGCCGGCGGCTTCCGGCGCCTCTTCCCGCTCGCCGGCGGCGGCGAGTATTTGCTGCTCTTCGCGCAGCACCGGCCTCTCAACGCCGCGCTCGTGCGAGAGCTCGACGCGAGGTGTGCGCGGGCGGCGCAGGCGGAGGACGAGGCGGAGGAGGAAGCCGCCGACGCCGAGGACGCCGCCGGTGGGGCGCAGGGGCGGGGCGGCACGGCGGGGGCGGGGCCGAGAGGGGCGGGGCCGGGCGGGGTGGAGGTGGCGAAGGTAGAGGCGGCCTTGGGCGGCACGGAGAAGGCTGGAGCTCAGCTGGGGGCGGGTGGCGCTGGGGCGGTGCACGGCGCCGCAGGCGGAGAGGCCGGAGGCGGAGAGGCCGCAGGCGGAGAGGCCGGAGGCAGCAGGGCCGAGCAGCAGCCGGCCCCTCAGCCGGCGGTACTCGATCCCACCCTCCCCTACCCCACAGTACCCGAACCCACCCAGCCCCCTCACCCGGCGCGGCCTCGCAGCGCCGCCTGCGCGGCCCTCGGGCGACTGTCCAGCCCGGCCCAGCCAGCCCCGAGCCAGCCGCTGCGGAGCTCGCGAGCTGTCGCCGGGTCCCGGCCTCAGTCCGCCTTCCCCGCCTTGAGCGCCGCGGGCTCTGCGAGGAGAGCCGCCGCCACCTTGCGCCCCGCGACCGCTGCGAGAGCATCGTCGTGGGGCAGAGAACGACGGGCGAGGCGCGAGAGGCCGCCGTCGTGAGCCTGTCAGCCGAGTGATCTCTCGTTAGAGCCGTAGTGTCGCTCAGCATGCTGTCCCTCTGCGTGTTCTGTGCTGGTGGGTAAAGGAATTGGAATCAATACGGTATGGGCCCGTTGCGGCACGCGTTTGATTCACAATTGAGAGACCAATGAGAAGACTCATGTACTGTGAGAGGACGTTCGTATATATGTGAAGTTGTGACTCACATACGGGTCCGGTTTATCGGGGGGAAATTGAAGAAAAACTCGAAAAGAGCACACACAAGCCGAGCCGCTAGCATTCAGCGCAAGCAAGATGCGTGGCGCAGCTGCGCCGCATGAATGCAGCCGGCCATTCAGAGGAAGGGGGCGAAACTTCCTGCTTGCTGCCCGAGATTGCTTCGGCTGTGATGAAGGACACGAGGAAGGGGACGACGCTGTGCAGCACACGAAAGGAAGGCATGCGCTCGTCGCGCGTCCGGAATCGGAAAATCGAGGCACCGCAGATGGCCGTGCAGACAAAGTATGCTACTGCGAGCCGCTTGCGTGAGGAAGGGAGGGCAGCGGGTGGCAGCGCTCCGAAGAAGGATCCGCCAATTCCACATAGCAAAATTATGTAACGCCCAGCCTCCGCCAACTTGTCGAGCTCACTAGTCAGCACCGCCGGCGAACGGACCACGGCGTTTACCAGACGCAGAGTCGGGCCGCAGACGAGCAGCAGCGTCATCGCACTCGCGAAAAGGCGAGGCGAGACCCGTGCAAGGGCCCGATTGGCGGCGATCATCACCGCGAAGCCAGTGGCAGTGAAGAAAAAATCCGGACTCCACTTGGGGAGCTCGGCCATAATCGCGGCGCACAGCATCAGGAGGGCGAGCGAGACCTGCATCGGTGCGGACGCACCCAGACGCGCCGGCAGCGGCCACGAGCGCGGGGCAAAGACCAGCGGCACCGGCGTGGCCGGCGGTGAGGGCGGCAAAGAGGAGCAGTCGGGCCTCGCCACCGCGGCAGTGGCAGCCTCTGCGGTGGCGGCCCGCCGCCGCTTACCGCTCTCCTCTGCCTCGCCGCGACCCTCCTCGCACAGCTCACTGTCGAGGCAGTCGAGGTCGTGGCAGTCGAGGTCGTGGGTCGTTGACCGCGGGGAGGCAAAGGAAGACGGCTCTGACGAAGGCGGCGTGTCAGGAGGCGGAGAGCTCGCTGACCTCGCGCCGATAACGATAACGGCCGCGGACGACGCCGTCGGCCGCCTCTTCTTGCCGCTGGCCTTCCGAGGCTTTCTGCGCTGCTTGTTTTCTGCTGGCACCAGCGTCCCGTGGCTTATGTACATGTGCAAGCACTCTTTGCCCTGCGCGCCGGGCAAGGTAATCCACTGCTCTGGCAGTTCGTCCCAGGTCTGCGGCCCACACTGCTGCGACAGCTCTTCCGAGCTTGCAAACGCCGCTGCAGACATCTCCGCTTCGACCGCGGCAAACGGCCAGCCAAGCACGCTGCCTTCGAGCCCAAGGACGGCTGAGCCCGGAGTTTCGTTTGGAGGCGGCGCTTTGAAGATGGCAAACCTACAGCAACACGCCAACGTCAGGGTGTGAAGAGGCTATCTCGCAGTGTATTCGGAGCACTGCGCGGACACTCCGGCTACGAATACAATGAAAACAGCCGAATACGTGTCTCCTTGAGCGATATTTGGAATACAGAGATCTGTATTCAGCCTTTAGGATGGCAAACCGAGGCCCAGGGCAGCGCATCGTCTGGTTGCAAACCCGATAGGGTGGGAGCTGAAGCTCGCGAGGAGCGCTCCACGGCCCGTTGGACGCCTTGTTATCAAGGATGGCGGTCGGCGGCAGCACGCGGACGCGCTCCACCGGCACCAGCAACCCGTGGCGCTGGCAGCTCGCACAGAACTTGGTAAATACGCCACTGCTGCTGAGGGGCTGCTCAGATCCTAGGACGGTCGGCGGGGGGAACGTGCGTGTCATGAGGCTGCGTCATCGCGCCGCGGAGGAGATGGCGCGCGAGCAGCAGCGTGCGCATGTTCGGCAGATGCGCTGGGCAAGGGAGCACGGCCGGGCGGGGGGAGCCGGTCCGGTGCTTTGACGCGGAGGAGTACGACGAAGGCGACGACGCTTTCGACGCGCTCTTCGACGGGGGCTCGGGGCACGGGTGGGATTCCTCTTCGGGGGGCGGCGCCTTCTTCTAGGCGCCCACTTGACCCAACATAGAGGCGTTGTGGGCCTAGCTTTTGGCATATATAAATTCTTCCGGTGTTGTGCGAGAGATAATATGGCAGGTTTTAAGCCGTTTTAAGCCTAGGGGGCCCTAAGGGACAGTTACGACAGTCATGCTCACCGCCACGTTCGCCGGCCTCGCGTTCGACAAAAAACACATGTTTAACATGGGTTTTTTAGAGAGAAATGCAGCATGCGCGGCGGGGAGGCCGTGTTCATTGAGGGGTTCTACTTTGACAAGGGGAAGGCCAGCGGCGCCAACACATCCTAAACTACATGAGGGCGGCGCGGCGGCACACTCAGGGGTCCGGAACAGTCCGGAACACCCCCCCCCCCCCCAGCAGAGCTCTCAGACCCACCCCCCCCCCTCCCCCTCCCCTCCCCTCCCCTCCCCTCCCCTCCCCTTCGCCGCCACCAAAGGAAAACGGTCGGCCGCCATCCGAAAAGGGGGTCCGGCACCCGCTCGGCATCAGCCAAAGCCGACGGTCGGCTTGTACATCTCGTACAGCTCGTCAAATGCTCGCCTCGCCTCGCGCAAATGCGACCGTCCTCGCAGCCGACAGTCCACCGCCTGCTAAAGAAGCACAGCGACGAATGCGGCACCGGCGACACATGGCAGGCTGGTCATGACGCAGTCATAGGGTGTTGTGTGCCGTCGGAGTGACTCTCTGTGTGTCAGGGATAGTCAGGACTGTCCATCAGAGCTCCAGTAAGCTCGGAGACACCCCATTAGCGCGGCTCGACCTCTTTGAGTCACTGCCTTCCCGGCGGTTTTGCTGTAGAGCCTCTACAACAAACTCTACAACAAAATCGCGCTCTACATCGCTCTACAACGGAGGCGCCTCGTCCCGCGGCGGATGTAGAGCTCTACAGCTCTACAGCGCTCCAGAGCGCTCTACATCTCTACAGCTCTACAGCGCTCTACACTCTACATCCTCTACACCCTCCCTCAGGCGTTCGGGCTCTGATAGACACGCTACAACACACACAAGCAGAAGTAAAGCACCCTCACATACCGAGGGCAAAGGGCAAGGGGGGGGGGGGGGACAGTGGAAAGGAGGGGTAAGTGATGAGTGAGGGCAGGGCGGGCTCAAATCTCAACGTGGCTCGCGTCCTCCGCGGTGATAAGCCGAGGTTGACGAGATGGTTGAGAGCGCAGCTGTGGTGCGCCCACTTGCCCGCATACGGCCCGACGCTGAGCCGGCAGATGCGGTCGGAGGTGGGGTTGATCCTGCCGCCGCAGACGTGGCAGGGCGAGGACATGCGAGCGGTCATGGCGATTGCAATGTGAGTGCAGTCGCGGGACCAGTGGCCCGCCCGGCTGCACCTGAAGCACCGCCCTCCGTTGCCGGCGTTTTGGGGCCCGGCAGGCGAGGCCGTGGCGGGAGTCGAGACGTGCGTCTGAGAGACAGACGTCTTCGCCATCTTGGGGACTGCCGAGGGCATCTCGGACTCAAGTCGGCGTTTCTGCGACTCGGCGGCGAGTGCCAACGACTCTCCTGCTCCAGCATGGCTGCGTCACGGTACATCTTACTGAGCGCGATTGAGCCAACGCCTTGCGACTGAGGCGGGATCTCCACGCCGTCGGTCCCGCCCAGGAGAGCGTCAAGCCACGCGGGACGGGGGGTTGCTGAAGCGTGGCGGCGCGGGGAAACGCGGCGGCGGTGACGGCGGCGGCGGCGGCAGCGGCACGCGCGGGCGGACGGGTTCGGACGGGGCGGAGCAGCGACCGCCTGGGCGGCCGCTGCTCCGTCTGCCACGAGCACGCCGTCTGCGCAGCTCGAGCGCGGTCACCCCCGCGGTCGCCGGTGTGTGGCTAGAGCCGTACCAGGCTTAGTGAGTGGGAGTCCGTGTCAGTGTGCGGGGACCGCGAGTGCCGCAGAGACGATAATTTACCGTAAAAGCCGTATACGACCGCGGTCGCTGCAACACCGTGGTCGGATCGTTGCGCGTGTGCAGACACGTGTGTAACACACCGCCTCGATGCGGGATTTCTCCGATGCAACCCGGGGCCGCGCCGCCGAGACGCATAGAGTACCGTAGCACCCCCTTCCACGTACGCTTTTAGTTTTTGAGAGCGACAGCCCTCTTCATCGCGCCGATAACACAAGACCGGCTTCGACGCGGACTGGAAGAGCAAGCTCGGCGCGCCCGCGGCGTGAGGCGGCGGCGGCAGAGGGGCGGCTAATGATCACTGGTGAGATGTATGTGCTGTGAGACAAGATTGTGTGCGCGACGGCGGCGGGCGGCGCACGGGTGAGTCTTTTTCTTTTCGAGCTGTGTGTTCGCGCGGTTTTAATTGAGAGTGATCGACAGGGATAGAGTCGATTCCGCATCGTGTATACCGTATAGGTTGCGAGATAGTATAGAGAGGTTGACGTATGACGATACTCTATACGATATCGTTTGCGCTTTGGCCGCGAGTTGCGTACGCCCGGCGAGCGGAGGATTGGCGTGTAATGCGATCCGAGCTGGGCTGTTCCGAGCGACTGTTCTTCACACAAAAGCACAACCCCGGGCCCGAAATCGCACAAAGGCAGTCACGCAACACGGGATCCAGGGAGAATCGCAACATCGCTTCTTTTGCCATGGAGACGGGCCCGTCGCTCGTCTTGCCGCCCGGGGCTCAGACGAACTCGATGCCACACGCGTCGCACGGCCACCAGCTGCTTCTTGCGTAGTTAAGCACGCGGCGGCGGGAGCAAGGGCCCTCAGCGCAGCGTGATGCCGCGCTCCTCGCATACGGCCACCAGCTCGGGCTTCTTGTTGTGGAACAAGAACAAAAAGCCCATGTCCAGCATCTACACGCGAGGGGAGGTGCGATGAGCATCGCCATTGGGCGGGGGAGGGGCGTGGCGAGGGGGGCGTCTCGCGCCTTCAAGCTCGGGGCGGCCCCCTCCTTAAGGGCGGCGGCCAGCGCCTTGCAGCCCTCGTCGCCAATCTTGTTGGAGTTGAGCCAGAGCTCCTCGAGCCGCGGCGCTGCCCTCTCCTCTTGCTCCTCGAACAGCGCCGCCAGCTCGGCCGGCTGACCATCCACGAGGAGCGTCTGCACGCGAGGGGAGGCGCGGTGAGCATTGGGCGGGGGAGGGGCGTGTGGCAAGGGGGGGGGGCGTCTTGCACCTTCAAGCTCGGGGCGGCCCCCTCCTTGAGAGCGGCGGCCAGCGCCTTGCAGCCCTCGTCGCCGATCTTGTTCTCGGGGAGACTTAGCCGCACGAGCCGCGGCGCTGCCCCCTTGCCGAGGGCGGCGGCCAGCGCCTTGCAGCCCTCGTCACCGATCTGGTTGTCGCGGAGATAGAGATTCTTGAGCCGCGGCACTGCCCCCTCCTTGCCGAGGGCGGCGGCCAGCGCCTTGCAGCCCTCGTCACCGATCTGGTTGTCGCGGAGATAGAGATTCTTGAGCCGCGGCACTGCCCCCTCCTTGCCGAGGGCGGCGGCCAGCGCCTTGCAGCCCTCGTCGCCAACCTGAGAGTTGCCGTCGAGATAGATCGTCTCGAGCCGCAGCGCTGCCCCCTCCTTGCCGAGGGCGGCGGCCAGCGCCTTGCAGCCCTCGTCGCCGATCTGGTTGCGACCGAGACATAGCTCCTTGAGCCGCGGTGCTGCCCCCTCCTTGCCGAGGGCGGCGGCCAGCGCCTTGCAGCCCTCGTCGCCGATCTTGTTGCCTTCGAGATCGAGCTTCCAGTGCCGCGGCCCGCTCGCGAGGACCTCCGCCAGCTGCGTCGCCTCCGCGTCGCCCCAGCCGAGGAAGCCGTAGTTCAGCTCGGTCTGCATGGGTAGGTTGATGCCGCGCTCCTCGCACACAGCCACCAGCTCCTTGCACTCTACCGCGCCTTGCTCCTCGAACAGCGCCGCCAGCTCGGCCGGCTGACCATCCACGAGGAGCGTCTGCACGCGAGGGGAGGCGCGGTGAGCATTGGGCGGGGGAGGGGCGTGTGGCGAGAGGGCGTCTTGCACCTTCAAGCTCGGGGCGGCCCCCTCCTTGAGAGCGGCGGCCAGCGCCTTGCAGCCCTCGTCGCCGATCTTGTTCTCGGGGAGACTTAGCCGCACGAGCCGCGGCACTGCCCCCTCCTTGCCGAGGGCGGCGGCCAGCGCCTTGCAGCCCTCGTCACCGATCTGGTTGTCGCGGAGATAGAGATTCTTGAGCCGCGGCACTGCCCCCTCCTTGCCGAGGGCGGCGGCTAGCGCCTTGCAGCCCTCGTCGCCAACCTGAGAGTTGCCGTCGAGATAGATCGTCTCGAGCCGCTGCGCTGCCCCCTCCTTGCCGAGGGCGGCGGCCAGCGCAATGCAGCCCTCGTCGCCAATCCTGCTCAGGCTGGACTGGGAGAGCTCGAGCGCGTCGAGCTCCGGCGCTGCCTCCTCGCCGAGGGCGGCGGCCAGCGCGTTGCAGCCCTCGTCGCCAATCTGGAAGTTGCCTTCGAGATAAGGCCACCTGAGCCGCGGCGCTGCCCCCTCCTTTCGCTTGCCGAGGGCGGCAGCCAGCGCCTTGCAGCCCTCGTCGCCAATCTGGTTGAAGCCGAGCTCGAGCGTCTCGAGCCGCGGCGCTGCCCCCTCCTTGCCGAGGGCGGCGGCCAGCGCCTTGCAGCTCTCGTCGCCAATCTGGTTGAAGCCGAGCTCGAGCGTCTCGAGCCGCGGCGCTGCCCCCTCCTTGCCGAGGGCGGTGGCCAGCGCCTTGCAGCTCTCGTCGCCGATCTTGTTGAAGCGGAGATGGAGATTCTCGAGCCGCGGCACTGCCCCCTCCTTGCCGAGGGCGGCGGCCAGCGCCTTGCAGCCCTCGTCGCCGATCTTGTTGCCTTCGAGATAGAGCTGCTCGAGCCGCGGCACTGCCCCCTCCTTGCCGAGGGCGGCGGCCAGCGCCTCGAAGCCCTCGTCACCGATCTTGTTGTCGCCGAGATCGAGCTCCTCGAGCCGCGGCACTGCCCCGCTCGCGAGGACCTCCGCCAGCTGCGCCGCCTCCGCGTTGCCCCATCCGAGTCCGCGGTAGTCCAGCTTGGTCGCCTTGCCAAACTGCTCCTCGAAGGCGGCCTCGTACAGCTGCTTCACCAGCGGCTTGTCGTCCTTGCCGTTGGTGAAGCTCTTCGTCTCCAGCTCCGCCGCGAACGCAGAGGGCAGCAGCGGAGGGCGCCGGCCGCCACCCTTGGTGCATTCGTGTCGGAGGCTGTAGTAGTCGTACTCCTCGCCGTCGCGCATCAAGCCGAGGTCGAGCGAGAGGGCGCCGGCCTTGGTCAGGCTCGACCAGGCGCTCTCGGTGGCGCACCAGCCGCGGTCAACGTACTTGGCCACGTTGGTGCCCTCTGCCTGGTCCTCCGTCTCGTGGCCGTCCGGGAAGGAGGTCAGCCGCAGCACGGTCGTCTGCGGGTGGGAGTAGAGCGTGCCGAGGCAGCCCTCTGGCTCCAACGTGGACACGCCCATAGCTGGGGACACTACTAGGTCACGCATGGCATCAGAAGTTTTATCTCTGGGCCCCGAAAGGCATCTCTAGCAGCGTCGTTACGCATGCGCCCTCCCCTCCTGGGCGCATACGCCTCACGTCTCGACAGAGCATAAGCCCTTGGCGTGTGACGAGACGAGTTCTTCGCCATCGCAGCGAGCAGCAAGCCACTCTCCGCAGCAGCCGGAGGCATCGCCGCAGCACTGTCTGCGCCGCGGTCCCGCACCCGTCGACGAAGCTCCCCCCGCGGAAGACCGCGCGTAGCGACGCCTTGACGATCGAGATGAGCGCGCTTGAAGCTCGCCCACCTACTGCCCCTGAGAGTTGGTTACCGAGTGGGATCAGCTCCCCCCCTTGGGATCGAAGCCGCCACACCTCGCACCCAACATCCCAGGCAGGATCAGAGAAAGACTCCGCACCGGACACCGCCCGGGCACAGACCCCCTACCCGCCCAGGACCGGGTGCGCTTCTGGGGAGATAAAATTCTTCCGGTCTGGCGCAGCTCAGAGAATGCTCGCTCGCTACCTGGTGCTCACCTGCGCAGCGTGCGGCCACGCGCTCCGGCTTCCGCAGCCTCCTGTAGGCCGCCGCCAGGCGCTGAGCTTCGTCCTCGGTGCGGCCGCCTTCGGTGGCGGTGGCTCCGGCGCGTTCGCCGATGAGGCCCCGATGACGCCCGCCGAGTGCAAGGCGAGCTGCTTCAAGGAGTGCAACACAGTCGCGCCCGGGAACAAGTCGTACTGCGCGAACCAGTGTGATAGCTTCTGCGACGCCTCGGGCGCGGCCGCGGCCGACAAGCCCGCCGATCTGCCCGACGTCAGCAAAGACTTGGGAATCTTCGGCGACAGCGGCGTGGGCTACAGCAAAGGATTTGAGGACCTGTTTGCGACGGCGTTCGGAGCCAAGCGGCAGTCGAAGAAGATCAACGAGGCGAACGTCGGCGAATTCGCCAGCGAGGTGGGCGAGGCGTTTAGGACAGCGGTGTCGGGAGCCGAGAAGTAAACTGCGGCCGCACATCGCCGCAGAACGTCTCAAGCAGGTACAGTAGCACGACCCGCGTCCAGTGTAATACGGCGGAGCATAGAAGTGTTCTACGGACGTGCATATTCTCACTGCCATCTCGCTCACCGGAGCCTCGGACTCCACAGAGCCGCGGCGCGCTCACACCAGGAGCGCGCGCACCTGGCGACGCCGCGCCCGCCGCCTTGCGGCTCGGATGCTCCTCGCGCCGACTTCCCGCCGCCCCGCTGGCCCCTGGGGGTGGAGACGAGACACGCCACACATGCAGTCGGCGCAAGTGCGACTCGACTTATTACCGCGCACGGGCGCGAGAGCGACGTATCACAGCTCATCCTTGCCCACACACGATGGCAAACCGGGTGTGAGCGAAGTCGCCTCTATTTGTCACTCGCCATGCGCGTCCTTGGCTGACCCTCCAAAACTCCCTCCCCCGCCGTTCGCGGCTCGGCTTGCGTATGCGGATGGGAGCTTCGAGGACATGCAGGCGTCCCACCCCCTCCGGCCATCCCCCCGGCTCCCAAGCGCGCGGCCGCGACGCGCTGCGCACCCTCTTCCGCGCTGCACCCGCTCTCGGCATGGCCGTCGTCCGCCGAGATCACCTCCTCTTCGCGCCGCAGGTGCACAACCAAGGGCTTGCCACCTCCGTATCCATCATGATGAAGCCAATGGGCCAAAATCGGACTCCGCTCCCCTCCCAGGTGGCCGGAGGGTACACCTCGGGTCGGCGTGCTGGGGGGGGCGCCGGTGCGCAAGCCCACTTTCCGGGCGACCCCGAGGGGGAGGAGGCCGGGCGAGTGGCAGCAATTCACTGTTAGTGTCCCGGGCCGCTGCGGCACCGTTTATACGGCCCCTCGTGATGTCTTTCCGATTTTGCATTGTGAGTCGGACGCGGGCGAACTGGTTGAAGAGAGGTCTATTACCATGACACGGACGACGCAAGCAAGGTTGCTCACTTCCAGAATGCCTGCGCCCTGGTTGAAGAGTACGCGCCGCAGGCCAAGCAGCTCGAGGTGGCAGTCCTTATTTCCACCTCGCACCAGTACCACCTGTCCTACGTGAGCAGCCCCAAGAAGGACCTGCTCAGGCGGTGGCACTGCTGCCTACGGGACCTGATCGCCCGCACTCCTCTGGGCGAGCTTCTGCACCACCCAGCTGCACGCTTGCCTCGTGTCCGGTGGAGGCTCCGCGTCGGATTTTTTGGCATCGACAAGCTTCAGAAATTCAGCAGCGTCTACCGCGATAGAATGAACGTCATTCAGGGCCTCGACAGCAGGCGCTTTGAGACGTTTCTCATCGTGTCTGCCCAGTACGCTGCCTCGCCGCCTCGCGACCTTGCTGGGGCAGATTTGCTATGGGGCTCCGTCGATCATGTGGTCGGTTGCGATGTGCACGATCTGCGCGCCGTGCTGACGCAGGTCGGCGAGCTGCACCTCGACGTCCTCGTCTACCCAGAGATCGGGATGCACCCACTGACCTGCCTGACAGCCTACGCGCGGCTAGCTCCAGTGCAAGTCACCACCTGGGGCCACTCGCTCACCTCCGGCATCCCGACGGTCGACTACTATTTCTCGAGCGCGTGGTACGAGCCCACAGATGCGGAGGCGAACTACTCGGAGACGCTCGTGCAAATGCGCAGTCTATGCACGTCGTACCCTGACCTCAGCATCAAGCACCGTGTGCGCAAAGGGGGCGCCGACTACACCTCCACCCTGGAGGTCCTGCCGCCGCCGCCCACAAAGCTCGTCTGCTGCATGCAGACAAGCTGCAAGGTCAACCTGCACTTTCTGCGGCGCACAATGCCTCGGATCCTCGATGGCGCTCCAGACGCGGTCTTCCTATTCATGCGCGAGCACTTTGCTTCTGCGACGCGCGACGCCATCTCTGAGGCACTAGCAGGCCAGGTCCTCTTTCTGCCGACGCTGCTGTTCGGCACCTTCCGCACCGTCATTGCCCGCTCGACAATCTTGCTCGACCTCCACCCGTTTGGAGGCTGCAACACGGCGCTCGACAGCTTCCTTGAGGGGCGTATCATCGTCACACTGCCTGGCTCCGAGCTGCCGGGCCGCTTCACGCAGGGGTTCTACCGCCGCATGGGCGTGGTCGACCCCATCGCGTCCACCGAGGATGAGTACGTCGACCTCGCGGTGCGCTTCCTCAACGACAGCAAGGAGCGCCGGCGCGTCGAGCGGCTGATTGAAAAGCGCCGCAGCGTGCTATTCAACGACCAGGCCAGCGTCGCGGAGTGGGAGGACACCCTGCTGCTCGTCTCGCGGCCGTGGGTGACGCTGATGCGGCGCAAGGGCGGCGACAGAGCAGGAGAGGACAAGCGCGCGTGCGCGGGATGGTTGCCTCGCTTGGAGTTTCGTGGGTGTTTTGGTTGCGTCTGTACTGTGTGAAGTTTGTCACGTTTGACACAAAAAGGCGATACGCCTGCTCTCGTCTCCCTCACTCGACAATGTCATTCTCCCTGACGTACGTCGTCCTCTCAACGTCCGAGAGCGCCGGTGTGGTTTGATTTTGGGAAGAGAATGGCCGGTCGAGGGGCCGCAGCGGCTGCGGCTCGGACGCTGACGCCCGGCGCACCGACGAGCGGAGCGCCTCGAGCAGCGCGGCCTCTTCCTCGGTCAGCCCGATGGCGGCCTCGGACGACTTTGCCTCCGACGCGAGTGCGGCGAGCGCCTGGCTGCGGGCGCGCTCATCCTCGCGCGGCGGCGGCGGCGGCAGCAGCGGCGGGCGCCGCGGCGGCTGCCGCGGCGGCTGCGGCTGCCGCTGCGGGTGCGTGTGCGTGTGCGTGTGCGGCGGCGGCGGCGGCGGCGGCGGCGGCGGCGGCGGCGGTGGCGGCGGCGGCGGCGGCGGCGGCGGCGGCGGCGGCGGCGGCGGCGTAGGCGGTGGCGGCGGCGGCGTTCGGTCTGTTGAGGCGGACGCGCGGCTCGTGGGGGCGACCGGAGGGGTCTGGCGCCCTGCCGCCTCCGCAGCGCGCTCCGCAGCTCCCTCCCTCCGCGCGCCTGGGGGAGGGTTCGGCCAGGTACACTTCTCCACACGCACACAGGAGGTTGTGGGGCAAGGGCTAGGCAATCCCTCGCGACTCCACGTCCGGTGTGCCCGCGCGCCTGCCGTCTAGGAAGTGTCTAGGAAGTGTCTCGGAAGTCCGGTGTGTCCGCGCGCCTGCCGCCTCCAGCGCCGCGTTGTCGCGCGAGAATGGGTCGACAGCGCCCGATCGTCCGTCTGCGGAAGGTCGGCGCAACGTCTCCTCACCAGACGCAGCGGGGCGGTGCTCATAGCTCATCTCGGGCAATCTCGGGTAATCTCGGGTCATCTCGACCTGCAGTACCCCAACGCTGTCGCCGCAGGTCGACTAGCAAGCCGTGCTCCGCCACCTGCCCGAGATTATCCGAGATTACCCGAGATTACCCGAGATTTCCCGAGACTAGCAAACCGTGCTCCGCCACCTGCCCGAGATTACCCGAGATTACCCGAGATTACCCGAGATTACCCGAGACTAGCAAGCCGTGCTCCGCCACCTGCCCGAGATTACCCGAGATTACCCGAGATTACCCGAGATTTCCCGAGACTAGCAAGCCGTGCTCCGCCACCTGCCCGAGATTACCCGAGATTACCCGAGATTACCCGAGATTTCCCGAGACTAGCAAGCCGTGCTCCGCCACCTGCCCGAGATTACCCGAGATTACCCGAGATTACCCGAGATTGCCCGAGACTAGCAAGCCGTGCTCCGCCACCTGCTCGACCAGCTCGGGTAATCTCGGGTAATCTCGGGTAATCTCGCGTAATCTCGGGTCATCTCCGCCACCTGCTCGACCAGCTCGGTGGCCTGCTCACAGCTGCAGCTGTGAAGAGACGCTGCTCACACCCACAACCGCCGGCGGTGGACAGCTCGGCGGCCTGCTGCCGCTGTCCCCCGCGCAGGAGGCCGGCGACGTGCTCGACGATGAGCCTCACCTGTGCGTTGTCTCGAGGTCTCGAGGTCTCGAGGTCTCGAGGTCTCGAGGTCTCGAGGTCTCGAGGTCTCGACGATGAGCCTCACCTGTGAGTTGGAGAAAAAAAAGAAAAAAGTCACCCGCTCGCCGACAACTTGTCACTGGCAGAGGGACGCTCGACGAGGAGCCGCGCCCGCTCGTCGGTCAGTAATCTCGGGTAATCTCGGGTAATCTCGACGATGAGCCGCGCCCGCTCGTCGGTCAGTAATCTCGGGTAATCTCGGGGAATCTCGACGAGGAGCCGCGCCCGCTCGTCGGTCAGCGACGCCTAAGGCACAGGCACAGGTGCAGCTCATGGGGAGGATCCCTTGTCTCCGACATCTCGACGGCGCGGTGCGCCTACAAGAGAAGGACATGCGCCTCCAGAAGAAGAAAGGCAGCGCAGTCCTCGTCGGCGGCGAGGGAACGCCTCCCGCGCCGCAGCCTCCCTCCTTCCGTCTGACGCCTCCCTCGCCGCCTTCCCCTCCCTCGCCGCCGCAGCCTCCCTCGCCGCCGCCGCCTCCCTCACCGCCACAGCCTCCCTCGCCGCTGCCTCCTTCGCCGCCGCCGCCTTCCCCTCCCTCGCCGCCTTCCCCTCCCTCGCCGCCGCAGCCTCCCTCGCCGCTGCCTCCTTCGCCGCCGCCGCCTTCCCATCCCTCGCCTTCCCCTCCCTCGCCGCCGCATCCCTCGCCTCCGCATCCCTCGCACCCTCCCCCCTCGCCGCCTCCGCACCCCAGACGGCGTGTGCAGACCCTCCAGCCGCCTCCTCCCCCTCCGCCTCCTCCTCCCCCTCCGCCTCCTCCGCCTCCTCGTCGCCGTCCTCGAGCCTCCGGTAGCTGCCAAACAAGGAACCCTCGCCTCCGCAACTCCCGACCTGCTCGTCGCCGTCCGACAGCACTCCAGTGTGTACCCCGTCCCCCCGCGCCATCCTCCAGCAGCGCCCGGCGCCGACGCGCGGACCGAGGCGGCCGCGCCGCCCGCCGACGCCGACGCGCCGCCTGTCGCCTCCTCGCCGGACGCACCGCCTCCGAAGAATGCTTGCCTGAGTACGGAAGCGTCGGCACGCGGCACGCCGACCGTCGGCACGAAGACAGAGCCTGCTCATGGCTGGACGTGTCATGCACGTGTCGTGAAGATGGCCCGCCCTTTCCGGCGAGAAAAAGGCCGCCTGAGATGAAGGGGAATGGCATGCTGGGGAAGGGGAAGGTGAGCTTCGCCACACACACACACGAGGGTGGTGGGGCAACGGTGGGGCAAAAGGGCCGGGCAGCCCTCGCGACCCCCCGCCCGGACAGGCAAGCAGCAGGCCTTGCCTTCAGAGTGCAGCTCCCAGTGCAGGTGGGCGAGCGGGCGAGCGGGCGAGGGGTGGCCTTGAGCGGAAAAGTGCTCTCGACCACCTCGATGCGAGATCAGCCGAGATTAGCCGAGATTGGCGGAGATCGAGCGGAGGCGTGCTCTCGACCACCTCGATGCGGCGCGCCATCATGCGGTGCAGCCCTGCGGCAGGGAAAAAAGAAAAACAATCCCGCCTCAGCTGCGGCCCCCCCACTCGAGTAGTGTCCGCCGGCCAGACGGCACCGTGCGCTTGCCGGCGTGAGCTAGCAGAGGCTACGCCGAGTGCGCGCTGCCCTAGGGTGCCGGCGTGCCAGTGTGCTAGCGTGCGACGAAGTGGAAGGTAGCGTGACAGTGCGCGGCAGACCGTACAGCAGCGCCGTCAGCAGGAGCGGGGTCGACCAGTACCCGGTGTGGTGCAAGTAAAAGTAGGCGAGCGCCGTGAGCATCAGCGCCTGGCCGGCACACCTCGGCTGTCACCTCGGCTGTACCTCGGCTGTACCTCGGCTGTCACCTCGGCTGTACCTCGGCTGTCACCTCGGCTGTACCTCGGCTGTATCTCGGCTGCACCTCGGCTGCACCTCGGCTGTATCTCGGCTGTACCTCGGCTGTATCTCGGCTAGGCTGAGCATCCGCGCCCGGATACCTCACTCACTCATCTGAGGACACTGCTTCGGTGTGATAGTGCTAGCGGTGGGCGGTGGCTAGAAGAGCGGATAGTGCAGCAGCCAGGGAAGGGGCGGCGGCGAAATCGCCTGCACGCAGCGGCTGAAGAGCCGCGACGCGAGCTCAAACTCGAGGAGGATGCCGTCGACCGCCGTGTTCATCGACCCGTCCGGCCCGCGCAGCGCGAGGCCCGGGCCGAGCATCGCGATTGTCGTCGTCCCGAGCACGATCGTCAGCGCGAGCGACATGGTGCACGTGAGCCCAGTCACGTACAACACGCGGGCGAACCAGTGGGCCTCCTGGTAGTAGTCGCGCTTCGTGTAAAGGAAGCTGAAGTAGGCGAGCCCTCCGATTATTGCGGCCACAAAACCGACCTGGCGGCAGTTCTGCACGTACAGCTCGAGCTCCGTCTCGCGGATCGCCAGCAGCTTCACCTTGGTCTGGTTCTCCAGCCGATGCTTGTCAGCGATGAGCATGTACGTCGGCCCGCCTGCGCTCGCCCGGCGTCGAGCCTGCAGGATCCGCGAGAGCCAGCAGCGCCCGCGGGCGGCACGCTGAAGGAAAGAATTTTACAATCAAAACAACTTCAACCTGCTGCTCCACGAGACGTTCGGCGGCGGCTTCTCGCCCACCGCCGTTCTCAAGCTGCGCCGCCTCGCGCGCAAAGTCGCGCGCGGCAGCGTTGACCGCACGGCCTACTCGCCCAAGTACTCGCTCTCTTTTATGTCCCACCATGCAGAGCGCATCTCTCTCTCTGTTGTGCGAGGCGTGAACCGCGCCATTCGCTCTCACCTGGCAACCCTGTCTGCACGTCTCGCGCGCGCGTGAACAGGGCTCCAGGCCCCAAATTACGTGTGAGTGTTAGAGTTGTTTGGTATTGCTAAAAATCTCTCTCTCTCAATTCAACTCCCTCGCACAACACGTTTTCTTTCTTTCTTTTACACTGGGCACGGGACTGGCGCGCACTGGCACTAACACAGGTACACCACGGGAGCCGCCTAAGCGACTCCTGCGAGGGTGGCGAGGCACTTAGCTCCGTGCACTGGTACCCCGCAATCCATCCAGCGCCATCGAAGTCATCAAGTTTGCACTTCGTTGGGATTTGCTCTAGGCCTCTGTGGGGACCCATCTCGGCTGGGTATCAAGGTATCATCGGCGGCCGCGCAGCGAAGCGACAATTCACACCTCTCACCGAGGTGCGAGGACCGAGCCCTCCCGCATGGTGCGCCCCGGTATCATTCAAACTCTTTGCGCTTCCGCCGTACCCGCGCGCCACACCCACCAGCTGTTGCGCGCGCAACGCACGCCTCCTCGTTTCGGCAAAGCCAGCTGTTTCGGAAATACACCGGATGTTGCCGGTGCCATGTAGCATGTGTTGACTTCGAGAACGATTTCCTGGGCAGCGCCCGCATGTGTGCATATCACCCTGCAGCGTGTCACGGCGGCGGCGGGGGACACCGAGTCCGCAGCGGAGCCCGCCACGCCGCCTAACGCCGCGCCCCCCGCGGCTCCGGCCCCGGCCGCAGCCGTGCAGGCCGCGGCCCCTCCCGCAGCCGCACCGGCTGCGGCCGCGGGCCCGTCAAATGCGACGACGGCCGCCATTAGCGCCCTCCTCGCCCAGCGCATTGCTTAGTGGTGCGCTCGCCTCCCTCCTGCGCGACGCTCACTCGAGCGCGTTGTCTGACTTGGCGCGCGCGCAGCGCGCGAAGAGGTGTGAAGAGGGGGGTCGTGTCCGGTGTGAAGGGTAACCCACGAGGGTATCAGCCTATCCTCTAGGGGCCCAATGCGGGTCCTCTCAAGATGGTATCAGGGTATAGCCCTGGGGTATGATCTCTGGGAGGGAGGGCCTGACTCTCACCGCCAGCAGCAGCAGCAACAGCGGCTACAAAGGCGTGGCCTTCTGCCCGAAGGAGAAAGGCCCCAAGAAGTACAAGCTGTCGGTGAGGGCTGGAGGCAGGACTCTCAACGGCTGGTTCGCCACCGCCGAGCAGGCGGCGCTCTTCTACGCCCGCAGGGAGGCGGGCAGGGACACCAGCGATCTCACCGCGCCGCCGCCGCCCCCGCCGCCACCCGCGCCTTCCTCTGCTGCTGGCGCCGAGGCAGTCCGGCAAGCGGAGAGGGAGGGCCTGACTCTGGCTACGAGCAGCAGCAGCAGCGGCTACAGGGGCGTTTACTACCGCCCGAAGCAGCGAGGCAGCAAGAAGTACAAGCTGGAGGTGACGGCTGGAGGCAAGAAAGTCCACCTCGGCCTCTTCGCCACCGCCGAGGAGGCGGCGCTCTTCTACGCCCGCTGGGAGGCGGGAAGGGACACCAGCGATCTCATCGCGCCGCCGCCACCGCCGCCGCCACCTGAGCCTTCCTCTGCCGCTGGCGCCGAGGCAGTCCGGCAGGCGGGGAGGTAGGTCGGAGATGGAGGTGGAGGCGGCTGCCGCAGTTGCGGGCGTGTCTGCGGCCGCAGCTGCTGCTGAGCAGGCCCTCCAGTGTCGGCGTCGCGTATGCTTACTTAGCGAGAGAGCGAGTTCCGAGTGATACCCTAGGTGATACCTGACGACGAAAGCCCTTGCCCTGCTGCGCGCTGCCGCTGTCGCGCTTTCCGCCTTGCGAGAACTCCTGGCCTTAAATAAATAATAAAACGGACACGCCAAACCAACAAGCGATTCAATTCTTTTTTTGAGAGCGCCTTCGTTGTTAATAGTTCAAACCCAATGGTCCCTTGAGCGGTCCGTCGTTGCAGTCACTCACCGCGTCTTCTTTTTTCGACTCTGGATGCTGGCTTGATGCAGGCCAACTTGCTGTCGTCGGACCCCGCCACAGCCGAGTCCTCACGGCGTAGCCACGCGCCGCCTCGCGAGACGGTCATTACGCGACGGAGCACGCCCGAGACCTTGCTGGGCGAGCGTCGCCGCCGGTCAAGCACGCGTCTGTCGCAAGAGTCTACCTTCGCCGGCCCATCGACCGCCAGGGAGGCCGCTGGGCGCCGTCGGCGCAGCAGGATCGAGTCGCTCGAGGAGGCGACCCAGCAGGTAGTCGACAAGGCATTTGAGACGCTGATGATGCCTTCAATGCGCCTCGCCGCCGCGGGCGTCGCGTGCATCGTGGCGCCTCTGACGCTGCTGCTCCTCGCGCCTCTGACGCTGCTGCTGCTGCCGATTCTGGTGCCGCTCGGCCTGCTGCTGACCGCCGTGGGAGTCGCCCGCGCCGGCATCGTCGTCTCGATGGACGGGTCGAGGCAGCGCGCGCGCTCGCCGCGCTCGCCAGCCGACCGGTCGGGTCCGCAGGCGGAGGCAGCCTCGCGCTCGGAAGAGGCGTGTGCGACGCCGTCGTCCCGTCGCAAGCGGCGCGCGTCGTGGGGCTCGAGCAGCCGCGAGGGTCTGCCGCTCGACCGGCGCGCCTCGAGCGCCCAGGACCGGCCGTATCTCCCCATATCTCCCCATATCTCCCCATATCTCCCCATATCTCCCCATAATTCGAGCGCCCAGGATCGGCCGCCCGAACTGTCCCCGAACCTTCCGACGGCGATCGCTCTCTCAGCCGCCTCTGTCCCTGTCCCTGTGCCCGTGCCAGGACCTCACCAGCGGCGCAGTGCTCGACGGTTCGCTGTCGACGCTCAACTCGCTGACGGCGCAGCCCGGCGGCTCGCTGGTGCGGCACGCGGGCGGCTCGTCCAAAGGACACTAGGCGCCCACCCACCTCCCTTGAGCCTCCCGGCTCCCTTCCTCGCCGCATTGCGCGAAGCTTCCCGGAGCCGTTTTTTTATTGAAGTGACTTTCTGGGACCCTTCCTCCACCGCCTGCCCCTCCTGACCTTTCCCCTCCGGTCTGCCTTTGCGGCCCTTCTCTCGTTGGCCGGCCTTCTGGGACCCTTT